CCCCGCGGCAGATCAACATGTACCTTCGCAAGTGCGACTCCATCCCGGCCTTCCTCAGCAGCCTCACCGCCGAGCTGTTCGAGAAGCAGACCTTTGTGGGGTTTGTGGGATAGGGTTACCCCTCAACCTTGCGCGATGATGCCAGCTGCTTCCTCTCGGAGCGGTTGTTAACTTGAAGACAACGGCAACAACATCCGTGAACTTCGATAACTGTGGCTATCAGAAAACGGACGGATGACGATCGCTGGAGCGCAGGTGTCCGCCAGCCATACGCCAGGGGTATTGGACCAATCAGAGGTCGTCCCCAGCTGATCCCACGGAGTGCGGGTACATGGTGGATGATTGGTAGCTCGTTTGGAATGTGCGTCCGTGCTGTGGGTTGTGATACGTAGCCCCACGGTTCGAATGGTTTTTGACTCTTCTCTTCACGTGGTGACCACTTTAGCTTGTGAGGACTTCGTTGCCATTCTGACATTGCAGCTAAAACAAAACCGTACAGATAGTTGTATCATCTCAATTAGCTCTCGTAGCCGCCAGCAAGCTGCTAGATAGATAGCCCGGCGGGCTTCTCTTTACAACCATCGGCATTCGGGGGCGCGAGAGGGGGGGGCAACAGCTAGAAGATGCTAGATAGAAGAAGAGGCTTGCGGTGAGAAGAGCCCAACAAGTCTTGAATGACGACGCCGACACGGTTTGAGTGTGGTCGGCGTATGAACCCGTCTGAAAAGTGACCTTTCCTTCAGTATCTATGGCGGAGGGGGGGGGGGGGCTTGGCGNGTTGTTTGGTTGGTTTACGTTTGGTAAACGCAAGTGGGCTTTACTTTCTTTACCCTGTAGGATGGAGACGAAGGCGCGTTGTGTCTGTTTGCCAAAAGTCTTGTGTCGGTGTTTCTTCTTATTCATGATGTGTTGTTCGTTGCACAAACTACCTGTAGGGGTGTACAAGCTGTCGGCGTAAGGACGCTGGAGGATCCTCCGTTTTTTTTCGCAGTTTTGAATTTTTTGAATGAGGAGTAACCAGAAACGGGTATACCCGGGTACTTTATCACCACTTTACGGTACACTTAGAAATCAACGGGCCTGCACCCCCAGGTACCCCCAGGTAGCCGGCGGCATCTCCAGACCCTCTAGTGTTACCGATGCTGGTTGCTGGTGTACCCGGAGAGGGTCGATTTTGTACCCAGAAATGGTCATATAATCCCGGCGCCCGACGACTCCAAAACCCGCAGAAAAAACCGTGTACCGCACATACCCGCACGATACACCATATACCGCACTTACCCCACAGTAGCCACACAAACCACCAACGGTCGCTGACGGGCACATTGCCTCCAAGGATACCAATCTCCGACAGCCTCCTCCGTAGATCGCGGTGAAACCAGCCGCCGTGCCCTGCCCCCGGAGGCAGTTCTTAACCACACACAACACACCTCACCCACCCACGCACACGGTCATTATGCTGGGGTGTGTCAAATATTACAAAGACGCGAAAAGCCTTAGGCTAGATGTGGCGGCCATGTTCTCGGAAGCTAGCCGTAGCTTCCATTCCGGCAACGGAGGCGGCAGGCAGAAGAAGTACATTGCCGGCCCGCACTTAAGAATATGGCACTCAAGAACTTGATGCTCAAAAAATCCAATACTTGAGAATGTACCGATAAGAACACGTGCTCAGCTGTGCACGCCCTGTTAGGAACAAGAACACACACCTGAGGTGCAAAACTGCTGCTACGAATAAGAACGACAGCAATGCAGCGGCTGCCAGATAAGAATACTCGCAAGGGGAGGGAGGGAAGAGGGGGGAGTGATCCCAGAGTACAGAGTATTGGATTTGGGAGGGGTACATACCCCACATATCTACATTTATTTGTATTTTTTTGGAGCGGGAGGGTGGGCATTGTACGCACGCGTCGTGCTCCTGGGTGCCCCCGAGAAAAGCGATGAAGGTGCAGGGTAGAGAGATCGGAACGTGTTTTGATGAGGAGCGTGCAACAACTTGCATTGCTCCTGAGTGGGATGGTGACACAAGGAATAAGCGGTCTAAGCGGTCTAAGTTCGCACACTTCCAGTTGAACGAACTAGGACCCTTTCTCGAAAGTGATTCACACCCCCACCCGCACCGGCAGCTTCGAGGTCGTGGTTACATACGGTGCTTTGGCCACAATACGGAAAGCCAAAGTCTAACCGATGCCAATATGTCCAATGTATTCCTTCTGAGGCTCCATGATTGGAAAACGGGTGACACGATACTTTGCTTCCGGTCAGTCCGCCGTCACGGGTCAGTATCCCTTTCGGCCGCGGTCGGCAGAAACTAACCACGCTTTATCACTGCTGTCATTTCCCTCTTTAGTCGTTGTCGATGTTGCCCCCTACTTCGATATACGCAGAGGAGGACAAGATGAACGCTGTCATGGGCCTGATGCACCCGGCCTATCGCCTACAATACCACCGCCAGACCTACGGCGACGACGAGTACCAGGTCATGCTGCCTGTGTCGTCCACGCTGGAGGAAGATGACACGCTGCTACCTCCTCTCCCCGTGGATAGTCAGGCCGGCGCTCCTAAAAAACTCGGGCCGAAGAAGTTCAAGAGGATCCCGGGGCGCGGGGACAAGTAGGCGTCGTCGTCATTCAACACGCGAGTTCCTGAACTCGGCCCGGCTGCATCCGGAACCACGGCGGCTCCCTCTCTGTCGCGGGGGGGTGCCACGGCGGCTCCCACTCTGTCACAGGGGGGTGCCACGGCGGCTCCATCTTTGTCACAGGGGGGGCGTGCGGGCGGATCGGTCATGGTCGGGGGGATGTTGATCAACTTGACACGCTGAGTGCCGGCCGCCGAATGACGACCTGTGTTGTTGCCGTTTTTTCCGTGCCATGCACTCCGCGATGTTTTATTTTCGTGCCATACACTCCCCAGTGAAGAATCGAGGATCGCGGGCCTTGACACTCATCTAGCCGACGACCAAATGGGTGATGACGATGGTGAAAAATGGTGGGCAGGGAGGTTTTTAGGATCTTTGACACTTTCGTCTTTCTTTCGCTTTCGTGTTCCCTGCGGTACGTTGATTAAGTTCAATGCATGGCTCAAGCGAATGTGCTGATCCATTCGCTTTGATTGTGCATCGTTGATTTGTGGCACACACTTCCGGGGTACACGTTACTGCTACACAGGGGAAGTAAACGAGCGTGTCGTGTTCAGATGTAGAGGTCGGAACCCTTTATTTTGGTGTGCCATTCGAGGTCCTTGCGAGGGGAGGCGGGCGAGGAGGGCGGGGCGGCCACCACTTTCCTTTGAGTGTGTTCCCAAGTTTATGTTTGGTTTTTCCCGACTTCACCTCTAATAATGTAGCTAGCTGTCGATTCGCATTTTTCTGCGGAAACCGACGCGTAAGTGTTGAATCGAGGCAAAGCAACTGGTGTGTTCCACAACGCCAAATTCATACTATAGTCTACTATGTATGATTGACTACCTAATCTGCTCAAAAGGTCATTCATACACGATGGATCATTTTCTGAGGACTCCTGTGACACATGAACGCAGCATGCAGCCTTTTAACTCTCGCCTAAAACACCTGCATGACTCTCATCTGCATTGTGAATTGAGGATACTACACCACAATTATATCTTCAAGATAACATCTACCTCTACTCAACAGTGATGGTGACGACGCAAGGCACTGAGCCTGGGACCGAGTCGACCGAATCGGACGTTGACGGTTGTTGGTGCACGCCACCGCCGTGCGGTCGATTAACACCCAAACATGCACGCACGGAAAGAAGACGGAAATACACAGCACCTGGCACAACCAAACAGGTATGCATAATGGCCGTAGCTCCGTGCTCCTAGCTGCCTGGTAAAATCCCTTGCGGAGCAGTGCGTCCGCGGAGCAGCGCAGAGTGTGTGTGTTTTTATTATTAGCATCGACCGCGCTAACCGGCTGACCAATGAAAAGACGTCAGTCTCAGTGCGGTTGAAAACACAAAACACTTTTATCTGCCATGAACTGGGACCCCGTGAGGGGTCAGCATGGAGGAGGCTAAACTATCCTTCGGATCAAAGACAGAAATAGCAGCAACAGAAGNACCAAACAGGTATGCATAATGGCCGTAGCTCCGTGCTCCTAGCTGCCTGGTAAAATCCCTTGCGGAGCAGTGCGTCCGCGGAGCAGCGCAGAGTGTGTGTGTTTTTATTATTAGCATCGACCGCGCTAACCGGCTGACCAATGAAAAGACGTCAGTCTTAGTGCGGTTGAAAACACAAAACACTTCTATCTACCATGAACTGGGNCGGATCAAAGACAGAAATAGCAGCAACAGAAGAAAACTGCACGTGTCTACCAAGGCTACTACCTTGTACTCGAGTTCTTTTTGGAGTACTTTCACCATTATCCTCCTTGTGTTCGCTACCATCATTCTGATCCTCATTTTGACAAGAATCCCTGGGCAGTTCTTCCCTAGTCCTACGTTTTTTTTGGGGGGGAAGGTCATCTGGCTCAAACTCTTTGCTCTCTTCCACTCCTCCATGTTTTCCTCCTCCATCGTCGTCTTCGTCCTCCTTTCTTCCCTTTCTCTTTCCTTCGTCTCCGTCGCTCCCAGAAGAATTACCCTCATGTCGCAAAGATCCCAACCGATTGACCCTGGTGGAAGTTGGTCGATCAGTAGTCCACGACGTTTGAACACATCGCGAGTTCGCATGGACAGAAAACGAGCTAGCTCGAAGGTAAACCGTCTCCGAATCCTGTTAGTATGAAAAGCTTTCAGGCGGACTAACGCTCCTTCGTCGTCAAAATTCCCCCGGCAAAAAGCTTCGTGCGCTAAGTGGTTGGCGATAGCAACGATGAGTCGATTGGTGCCTTCGCCAAGACCACCATTCGTTGAAAAAGCAGCGGTAAGGAGGGTAGATCTAGACGGGTTGAAAGTTCCCGCATAGTGATTTGCCTTACTTGCGGCTCGATCTTCGAGGGCGGATCCTGACTTTTGCATCGACTTGTCGATGCTTCGACCTGCGGATGGGTTGACGATTGTTACGTCTATAAGAATTTACTTGGTGCAGAGTTCCTCTTCCTTCTCTCCTGCGTGCAATCCTGGGGGGATCACCAAATCCATCTTATATAACCCCTTTTCCCTACCAGTGCCTGTGGTAAAAGGGGAAGAATCCTCAACGGCGATGCGCATATGGCACTCACGCAGTGTCTTGAGGATTACGCAAACCATCCTGTTATGGAGGAAGGTTGAGGCGCCTGTCTTGGTACAGACGAGGGGGTGGGCTCGGCTCAAGCGGTCCTTGCATGGTAACGATGCACCTGCATGCACACCACAATTTTTTCCTGTGTCGCAGTCTGCTCGATCGTGACTCCCCAGTACACGGCCGATTGACTCTCGATATAGATCAGGCAGTATTCTTTCATCTTCTGACAGCCCTTGCGTTGTCACCCACGACAAAACTCCCTTGCCTTTCGATTCCTCCAAGCGGATCAATGCTCTCTTCTTTGACATTTCCTCGTCTGCTACCTTCTCCAAGTCTGTCTCCACCATGTGACGCACTGCTGCATGAAAAGGTTTCGAAAGGAGAGCTTGGGCTCCAAAGGCTTGGTAGTGTTGACCATATTCATTTCGGTTGTAGGTAGACGGTGGTTGATGTTCTGTGTCAGGGTTTCCATCTTCACTGGGTTTTCCCGCCTTCCCTGCTTCCAACAGGTAAACTCCTTTTAGGGCGGGGGTTGACTAATCACTTGTGGCAAGTTTAGCCCATGACTGCCCAACAGCTTTTTCAAGCTNTATTCATTTCGGTTGTAGGTAGACGGTGGTTGATGTTCTGTGTCAGGGTTTCCATCTTCACTGGGTTTTCCCGCCTTCCCTGCTTCCAACAGGTAAACTCCTTTTAGGGCGGGGGTTGACTAATCACTTGTGGCAAGTTTAGCCCATGACTGCCCAACAGCTTTTTCAAGCTTGTCTTTGGTGATGATCTCCTCTAGCTTCTTGAGTGAGTCAATTAAAACCAATCCCGTCGGTAGCTGGGCAAGCCGGGGTAGACATTGCTCAACTGTGTATCCTGTCGATTCTTGCACTGACTTGGAGAACACCAGTGCTTGCCCTTCCGCAAAAGCCGATTCTCGAACGAGATCATTGCTCGTGATTCGTAGTCCTCCTTCACGCATGGGTAGGTGCACCTGTGCCCGAGCTGTCCCTTCGAAGAAATATACCTCCTCGCTCTTCGTCGGGTCTGCGCATACTTCTTTGTCCGTTGGTATTCTCATGCTGTCGGCCATCTTGCCAAGGACGATCTTACTCATTGCCCACATCATCATGTTGTCATGTTTTCTAGCGGCAGAGTTGGTGATAGACGGTGCAATCGTCCTCAGCAGATGAAACAAACGTGGCACAACAGATAAACGTAGTAGTTGACAGCTGGCTTGGGGGTCGTCAAGCGTTACTAGGCGGAGCATCAATTCCGCCGGGTCACCATGGGCGATTTTGGACATGAAATTCCTCTGGAACTCTTTTGTCCCTGCTGGGATCCCGACTACTGGCATGCCACCTTCAGCAACTGACAGACCAATTTTCGTCAACTGTTGCTGTTGTCGTTTGTCAAAGAGGACATGCAAAGACGCTCCGGGAAAAGCACTTTGGATTTCGGGAGACTGAGCTCAATCCCTTTTTGGGAGAGAAATTCCTGAATCCAATTCGTTACAGTGGATATGGCCTGCATGTTCTTAGCCAAACCTGGTGGAAGATGTGCTTGGAGGTCGTCGACGTATCCGATGAGTTTGACTCCTGGCACAGATGGCTTGTTGTTGAACTCTTTCATGATATCGAAGAGTCCTACACAGAAGCCGAACCCTCTCAGATTACAGCCTTGCTGAACTCCACGCTGTGAAAGAACAACCTCGATCGAACCATCTTTAATTTTGAACAGAAGTTTCGCCTTGGTTCGAGCGTAGATGTTCCCGAAGTACTTCACCAAGTGTGGCGTATGAGTGGCCACTGCTGGCAAGATGGAAGATCTGCGCATGCTGTTGTAAGCGTTTTTCCATCAAAGGAAAGAATGGTGCTGCCTTGCTGGTGGCTGAGGGCTGCTGTGGAAGCCACTATCTCAACTCCTCCTGGAAACACCACCTCCGAACTGGTTTGCTGCTTCGAATATGTTAGCAATCCCTCCCTTGTACTGGCGGCAGAAGCTGCCGCTGGTGATGCGACGCAAAACTCCTCCAACTGCAATCGGCCGTTATTTCTCTCCTAGCGCTGAAAGGTTGGCACTGGTGTGGAGGTTCCAAAAGAAATCCGGAAGCTCGTCTCCGTAGTAGAAGACTTTTAAGCTGAAGTCCGCCAAGGTTTCAGTAAAAAAATCACTCATCCCACCAGCTTGGAGATACGAAAAACGAAGACCATCAGGCCCCGNTCGCCAAGGTTTCAGTCAAAAAATCTCTCATTCCACCAGCTTGGAGATACAAAAAACGAAGACCATCAGCCCCCGGAGCACTCTGAGGGTTGGCTTTGTTTACCGTCTGCTTGATGAACTNTCCTCCAACTGCAATCGGCCGTTATTTCTCTCCTAGCGCTGAAAGGTTGGCACTGGTGTGGAGGTTCCAAAAGAAATCCGGAAGCTCGTCTCCGTAGTAGAAGACTTTAAAGCTGAAG